ATCTCTCCAAGACCTTTATCATGAAGGGGTGTTGGATTTTGTCAAAGGCTTTTTCAGCATCTAGTGAGATGGTCAAGTGGTTATTCCTTTACCCAGGAATGGTGCAATTGGGCATTGTTCTGTACCATTGAGCTGGGCTTCTTCACCTTCTTCTATACCTATTGTTCTTAGATTTGGTCTTTTCATGGTGTCCCATATTTCCTGCATATTTTGTGTTAAGGATTTGTTCGATTTAAGGCTTTCTGTTGTCGATGAGTCTATTTCCTCTAGTTTATCTTCAGTGCATGAGATTCTGTGTTCCATCTTTTGTATTCTGTTAGTTATGCTTGTATCTGTAATTCCTGATTGTTTTTTCAGCCTTTCGATTTCCAGCATTACTTCAGTTTGTGTTTTTCTTATTGTCTCCATTTCGGTTTTCAGATCTTGAACTGTTTGAATTGTTGTCTTCATCTGTTTGATTGTTTTTTTCTTCGCGTTCCTTAAGAGAGTTGTTGATTTCTTGCATTTTTGGTTTGTATTTTCTTCCATTTCTTTAAGGGATTTTCTCATAATCCTCTTTGAGGGCCTCTATCACTTTCAGGAGATTGTTTTGAAGGTCATTCTTTTCTGTTTCCTCTGTGTTGGTATGTTCAGGTCTTGGTGGTTTAAGAGATTCTAGACTCTGGTGGTGTCATACTGGTTCCTCTGTTGTTAGCTGTGCTTTTATATTGCCTTCTTCCCATCCTTACTTTCAGTGGGAGCTCATGGGTTCCCTCCTCTCCTGGCGGGATTGGGTCTAAGAATCCTTTCCAGTGCGTTCAAGCAGGTCCACTATACTTCAGTGGGTGCAGGTGGGTCTCAGACACTCTCAAGCACAGGGCAGAGACCAAAGGGTACTTAAGCACATTGAAGAAACTTAAGCACTTAGGCACTTAAGCACCAGGAAAGGACCGGAAGACACTGAAGACTGAGGTGTGGGCCGATTGAGGGCAATCCTTCCGGGGGGTGCAGGTCCTCTCTAAGTGCATAAAATACCCAGGGAGACAGAGAGTCTGGGGATTTAGGGAGTTGGGGCTTAGGGCAGGGCCCCCACTCACTTTAAGCACTTTAAGCCCTGGGAAAGGACCAGAAGACACTGAAGACTGCAGTATGGGCAGATTCGTGGCAATCCTTCAGGGAGGGGTGGGCAGGTCCTCTCTAGGCGCAGAAACACCCAGGGAGACAGAGCCTGGGGGGCAGGGAGCTGGGGTTCAGAGCAGGGCCGCTACTTACCTTAAACACTTGTAAAGGACTGGAAAACACTCCAGAGCATTTAATTTTACCAAAAATCTGGAAGCTCCCAATTGGTATAGAAAGGACACTTAATAAAACTAAATGACTGGAATAGCACAGTTTTCTGCTTTAGCTGTTACAAAGACCAGCAATGTCTCAAGTTTGAATATACAAATTTGAGACAACCCTGTGTGGGTTTTCTTTGTAACTCTGATCCTACCCTAGCTCCAGATAAATAATGTTTGGACCCAGACCACATCAATATTTAAGAGTATTTCTCTTCTCTAGGTCACTACTACAAGACATTGGGGAAGCCACTTGATTCTTCTCAACTGCAATTTTCCAAAATGTTTGGAAGGCTTAGACTGGTTTATCTCTAATGGCACACTGCTTTGACATTCTTGCATCTGTGTGCAGTATCAGAAATTGAGTGGTACACTTGTAATGTTAGCAAGAGTGAAAGACAGAAAAGGGACTGCATGACTCTAGTTCAAGAAACTAGAGAACCTGTGGTCCTCTTAGACATGAGTAGTTACAGGCTGGAAAATCTTCCCCTGTTGGCCTGATATTAGCCATTGCTAAGAGTTAACAGTCAGTGTTAGTAGTTCTTGTGTGTGTGTGTGGGAGGTGATGGAAAGCATAGGGTAAGCAAGAATCTAGAAATGCGATTAACTTTAGTTCTAGGAATTCAATCATTTTAGTTTGGGAATTGTGATGGTTAACCAAGGTGGGGAAGCTTTATAAGATGGCAAAGGCCAGAGCTAACAATATTAAGAACCAAGCAAAAGGAATATTCTCACTTAAATATTAAGAGTTGGAATTTAGATTAAAAAACAAAACACTTTGTGCTGAGTAAGGATGTCATTTCAATAATTGGTTTCAACTTTTTTCATTTAGGTGACAGAAGAAGGCTATAGCTCTGATCAAAGTGACAGAAGTTCTGACAGGTAACTTTAGATGGGCTTTGTACAGTTCTTGAAAGGAAAATCTGAGAACTGACATCGAAAAATAGCATCCATCCTTAGAGCCTTACAATCTGACTTTGAAAACTCCTTAACAAATCGCATAAATAATCCTAGTCAGAATCAGAAAAGTCTTAATTATAACTTCCTGGCTTAATTTTATTTTTATTTGAGAATTTTGTATATATCATATTCTGATGCTATATCTTCAGTATCATAATTTTGCAAAATTATGATGCCGAGGGAATTGTCACTGGAAAAATCAGAACTATTTTTTCTTTATTTCAATTTTGAGATTGGAAACTCTTCTATATAATAACAGAGTCTGATAGATGAAATTCAACACCCATTTTAGCAGCAATAGTAGCAAGGCTTAGCCTGTGATGGTTCAGAGAGGCAAGAATTCTGTGTTCCGTTATGCTTTATTAGATCTTAGTTGATATAGACCCCTGTAGCAAAATCAAGTCAAAATGCAAACATAAGCAAAACAGAAGTTTCTTAACATGACTCTCTGCTGTATGGATGGGAGGTAGTGATGGTCCCTACCACAACAACAGACTTGAACATGGCCAATTAAATTTTGTACTTAAAGATCATCCTCCTGAGACAAAGATGTGGGTAAATGCCTGCTCAGGGAGATGGTCAGGACAAAAAGAGAAAGCAAGAGCTGCATTCATTGCTTACCCTTCTCTTCATGGGGCAAAAAGGGAAAACTCTTATAAGTGGCAATTACCTTTGAAGACATGCATTTCTCTCATAAATGGGTAACTTTTACTTTTTCATTTGGTTTCCACAGCTGCACATGTATCTTGTGTCTCTCAAAATGATTAGTTGAATATAATGATTACAGAAAAGAGGCTAATTATGGATGGTATATTTTGGCCTCTTGCAGTGGAATTTAGGAGTTGGCCTCTTTTTGTGGTATTTGTGGGTGGCTGTCGAAAACTCATTCGATGATGCTAGGGGAATTTATGCAGGTAGGAAGGAGAAAAATGTTGCTATATTATCTTTGAAATGGATGTAAACAAAGAAACATGAAATAACTGAAAGTTGTAAGTAAGCACTTTTATATTCATAATTTAGGTTAGTCCTAAAATTCCTCTGTGGTAAAGTGTTAGCATTTCCATATTAGAGAATGATAGATTGAAACTGAAGAAAGGGTAGTTGTTTTTATCTGGCATTACTGCTGATCAGACCTAGGATCGTGTGCACCCAGGAAATAAAAAGATTTACCACTGCGTCATGGAGGTCCACTCCAGCCAAGGAAGGTAGCTTTTTGTTTTTGTTTCTTAACTTCCCCAAATCACACAACTAGCAAAAGTGTGAAGGTACATTCAAATACAGTTTGTGTTTCTGCAAAACCTGTGGGACTGGGCAGTGGTGACAAATTCCAACACTAGGTAGGCAGAGGCAAGTGGATCTCTCTCTGAGTTCGAGTACAGCCTGGTTTACAGAGTGAGTTCCAGGACAGGCAGAGCAACACAGAGAAACTCTTTCTGGGACAGAGGGGGCAGGGAGGACACGGATGATGACAAATCTATGGGATTTTATTGTTCTGTATTGCATTTCCACAACTACAAGTACAGAGAACATTTAGTTCTTGCAATGCTAGAATATTCACTTTCTTTTGTTGCTTAAACAAATACAATGGCTGTGGGCAGTGGATTCAATCTGAGGAAAAGGATAACTACAATCATGGAAAAAGAGTGGAAGGAGGTTTATTATTAAACAAGTAAGTGGTGTGGGAAACAGTGGGGTATCTTTGAGAAATTTGTTACTTGAACAAATAAGTGGTTTAGGATATAGTGGGGTACCTTTTCAGTTCACAGCCTTTCTCAGTTCTTGGTGAACTTAGCTTTGAAGGGCTAGAATCTTGGAAAACTCACGAGCCACCAAAGCCAATGGCCTTCTAGTTCTTGTCTTACAAATTTGAGAAGTGAAGTTCATGAACCACAGAGGGTATAGTTTAGGAAGAAGCATTTTATTAGAGCCAGCTTAAAAGAAAGAAGGCACAGTTCTTGTACAGAAAGAGCAGGGAACTGTCAAGGTACTACTCTGGGTATATTTTTCAGAACTTAGGACAGAAACTGGTGTGAGGTATGAACAAGGAAATATGTTGGTCAGTCCAGTAGGTTATCCAATAGTTGGTGTCTAGGCACCTCCTCTCCGTCTCAGGTACTTCCTTCTGCAGAGCTTCCAGGCAAGCTTAGGAGGTAATAAGAAACCAGGAGACACAGCTGACTTCTGATGCTCTTAGCCTCCAAAACGGACATTCTTGGTACTGCTGTTCTAGAGCCAAACACATATGTCATGCTCAAGCAGAGATCATAGATCATATGTTAAAAACAACAAAAACACGCCTCTAGATGGAGAATTCAACACAATAATAAGTAAAGTATATTCAAGGTCAACTGGAATGAATGAGTTACAGATTAAAGTTTCTCTAAGAGCTTCAGCTAAAATAGTTGCTCAACATACAGATTTGAAAGCTGAGGGCATTTAAAAATTTATTCAAAAGATCAGTAGCCCTATCACCACACTGCCGCCACATACACTTGGGAACTTGCCCCAAAATGTGCCTGCCCGGCATCTACGTTTACCCCACACAGTAGCTTAGAACAGAACCCATCCATCATCTCCCAAATTGGCAGGTCAAATGTCAAGATTTGCTTGTCTGCTAGAGTCACATGCCTGAAATCATGGTGCTACCCTGGTTGCCCTCTTACTAGAATGCTCCGGAGAGATACCTACTTCCAAGAATGCTAGTGGTTGGCAGAATCTAGCTTCTTACTGCTTGTCAGTCAGAGTCCATTCTTCAAAAACAAAACCTGAAAAAGAAAAGAAAAGAAAAGAAAAACAACAACAAAAAAACAAAACCTGAACTGCCCCACTCCCCCACTTGTAAACGCCAGTTCCAACTTCAACACACATCTCCACCCAAATCACCATATCCTCACTGTCAATCAACCTGACTTCCACTTTTGACCTTGTCCTCTGATTGCATTAGGCTAACCCAGGTACTTGGTGTTAGAGGAAAAACTTAAGAAAAAAGAAAAGGCCAGAGAAAACACAACAACAATTTTATGAGGACCTTAACATTGAACAAATCAGTAGAGCACTTGTCTGGAATTACATAGACCTGAGTCTTATGCTTAACACTGCAAAAGGAAGGGAGGAAGGCAACAAAGGAGGAAGAGATGTATGAAGAAAGGAAGGAGAAAGGAAACAATTGTAAATCTAATTATTCATTGAACTCTCATTCCCCCCCAGACAAAAACAGTGTTTGGTCCACTTAGAAAGCCTAATAGGAACAATATTTATATTTTTATAGTTGTTACAGAAAGTACCTTGTTTATATAGTTAATAACTCAAGTAATAATATCAAGACAACTATACAGCCTTTGGACATTTGTTGTATTATAGTAAAGTGTGACTATATATGATGAACCTATTCCCTAATAATATTTTAGCTACCCATCAAGAAATTCCTCATTGGATTGAAGATACAGTCCATTTGTTAGACTGCTTATCTAACATATATGAATCTCTTGATTCATTCCCCAGAAGGAAGTAACACCAGGCTTACTGACCAATGCCTGCAATCCCAACACTCAGAAAATGGAAGCAAGAGTTTCCAAAGTTCAAGGTCACTTTGAAATATATAATGAAATTGAAGACAGTTGAGGCTACATGAGATGCTGTCTCCAAAAAAAAGTTTCTTTTTGCTGTACTGTTCACTGACACAGAAAGTGTAAGACAAAAGATAAACCAGTCATCCATTAGGCACTTTATGGAATACACCTTTGCAACGTGGCACAACAAATGTTACAGGAATCAAAGATGGCTTTTGTATTAACTCCTATATAACTAGACTGTCCTTAAACTCAAGATCCTTCTGCTTCAGTCTCCTGGTTTGGGGCATACTAGGTTTCCAATATCACGTTGACTTTTCATTCACTTTTTCACTCGGGATTCTCACAGAGAAGAGAATGGAATTCAGAGCTTCACACAGGCTAATCAAGTGTTCTGCCCCTGTTCTGTACCCTTAGCCTTTCAGCTAACATTTTTGTAACATTTTTTTATTTGTTTAAGTGTAAGGGCCATTTTATGAGTTAAAAAAAGACATAGTGACAGGGCAGAGAAGTTGTAAATCTCAGCAGCTGTCAGGAGGAGAGGGAGATGGAGAAACAGAAGAGAGAAAGTCGTGTCTTTCAACATAAGTTCCAAGAAAGCAAGCGTATTCATTAGCTTCATGGAGAAGAATAGGCTTCAGACTGGCCAAATAGGCTTAGAATTTTAGCCATTATTCAAGTTGTTACACTTAGTTGGGACTCAGTAAATTAGGTAGTCTCAGTAGTGAAGATAACAAGCCACTGTTTTCTTTGGGTTTTTTGAGACACTCTCATATAGCCAAGACTGGCCTCAAACTCTATGTTGCCAAGGATGATCATGAACTCCTGATTGTTCTGCCTCTACCTACTGAGTGTTGGGATTATAGGCATAGCTTCTAATAATTTTACTTAGCTGCAATTTTTTATGCTATATAGTTAAACTACACAGCTCTGTGGATTTTTGGTATATTAAGAGATGTGTTGTCTTCCCCGTAGTATGATTTTAGAACATTTTCATAGTCATCCCCCACAACTTCATAGTTTTTATGAGTCACTCACTCTTCATTCAGACCTATATTCTCCCCATCCTAGTCCAAGGTAATTACAATTACATTTTCTTCCTACAGAAGTGTGTTTACCTTTGTTCCAAAATGTAAAACTGGATTCCTGTCTAGCAGGTGAAAATTCATCTAAAGATGTGAAGGAAATTAATAATAGTAATAATACCTAAGTTTGTGAGTATAGTTCAGTGGTAAAACTCATACCTTCTTTTAGACATCTAGAAATTAGACTTACATACAATTAAGATGAAGGCCTCAAAGTTGTTCATTTGATTAGTGTCCACTATATCTAATTATTATTATGCTTTAATTGACAGTTTATGGAGACGTGAAGTTGATGCTGAATTCCTGAATGGTAGATATACCACAATTAAGACTTTTACACGTCACCCAATAGGAGTAAGACTGAGCCACGATGTCGGATCACGGAATAATCGGGTACATATGATGCAATTGTACAACTGTTTGCTCACTGGAAATTGAGGAAGCCATGTTTATTTTAGGTCAACTTGAAATATATAAGGTTATCTTTTACATATAGGAAACATGTGAATGTATTAATACACAAGAAATCTTTTTTCCTGTCTTCTGTCTTTGTGAAAAACAGGAAAGTTGGGAAAACAAGCTGACCTTAATTATTTAATTATATATGTACGTACCCATGTGGTGTGGGTAGGGGGGCAGATGCAGATATCTGAAGATAGAGCTAAGGCATTAGTGAGTCACCTGATGCAGGTGCTGGGAAATAAACTCAGTTCCTAACTGCTGAACCATCTTTCCAAACTTTCATACAAATCTCAGTCATGGCATGAATTAGCCCACACTACCATACACTTACTCCTGTAGCTTCAGTAAGTCTCAATATAATGTTCACAAAGGAAACATCCTTGTTTACTTGAAGATGGAGGTTCTGTCCTGCCTGGTCCCACAGCCGATTTGTTTCAAGTAAACACACAGATGCTATATTAATTTTAAAACTGTTGGCCAGTGGCTAGGGCATCTTACTGGCTGGCTCTCTCTTAATTATTAACCCATAACTACTAATCTATGTATTTCTGCATGTCCTTATCTTACCAAAGAATGCCTGATGCATACTTTCTTCCCAGTCTCTACATGGTATCTCTTTCCACTGCTTCTCTTGCCTCTTTCTCCAGAATTCTCCTTGTCTCCTAGCCTCAACTATCTTCCTGCCTCTAATAAGTGTTTTATTCAACAACCAATAAGAGAAACATATACAGAAGGACATTCCCCTATCATTTACTAGACTATGTGTACTAAAGCAAATAAGCAATCTAATTCATGTTTAAAGACTTTTATAAGGGATTGAAACTGAAAGAATTTTCTGCCATTCCTCACTTAGTAATCAGCTAAAATAGTCAAGGTATACTATTCCATCTCTGTTCTGATTATATTGTGCAAAGAATGTGTAACTCATAAATAAGCCATGATAGTGTAGGAATTAAGAGATCAAGGACATGCTGCACTACATAATCAAGACTCTGTCTTAGAAAAACAAAGAAAAGAAAAAATGTGTCTGTGTGTCCATGTGTGTGTTTCATAAGTGGAAAACAGAAAACAATCAATCTCTGTCTCAGAACAGTATTAAATCTGTTTCTGACTTAGGCTTTGAGATGATGTTGAAAAGGGTATGTCTGAAAGATGAGGAAAGAAACTTGGGCTTTGTGGACATGTGTATAAACTGAAAATGGAATTAAGTCTGACTTGGCAGTCTTTGAGGTATTCCAGTCAGCTGTAGACCAGTAAGACCCACAGGAAGTTGCTTGTACCTAGGACTGCTCTCCTCTAATAGACTGTCAAACCCTGGATTATGAGGCAGACTCTTGAATCCCAGCATGTAGAATTAAGTCTGCCCTTCATTCAACTGGGAAAGCATATTGCTACTTGGTCTTTGTGGTAATATGCATTTCCATACTCTTCCTTTAAAGCTCTAGCATGGATGGTCTAACTAGAGACCTCAGGGGTAGTCCAAGTATGAGGCAAACTACCTATAATTCTAGAGTCTCAAGGAGAGCTTGTGAACATTCTTCATACATAGACAGAATTCACCCCACCCCAGCCCTTCAGAGTCTTCTCAAACCACCCCAGGCTGATTCTTTGACCTTTAGCTATTTCTGGTGCAG